TTTTATTATTCTGATGAATGTGTACTAATATTTTCAATTGAGTCTACTATAAACTGTGAAGTAACGGTAAGGATAAGATTTTTTACAGTCCCTAGCTCCTTTAGAAAACGCTATTGAGACAGGTAGTAAAAATAAAAATTTTTCCATTATGGTAATAAATTAATAGTTTTGTTCTGAGACCATATCTTTAGTTAAACGAGATATTGATCAATGTAAAATAAAAGCTGACCTGAACTGTTAAATAAAAGCTCCACCTAATTTTTTTTATTTTATGTTACCTCAATAATACTCCAGGCTTCTTATAATTAGCGATTCATTAAGCCATAACGCTATTAAGCCATTCTCTAGATGCTATTGAAATTTTACTCCTAGCCAATGGCTCCGTAGGGTAATAAAGTCATTTATCCATCCCCTATAGTCGATATACAAATTGCACCTAGTATAAAGTCCTCTAGCTTCGGAATATTCCTCTCGGCAAGACACTAATTATTTTTTCCCTACTTATCTATACTTGTAAGTTGAGGGCGGTCTGTTTCTCAGAGAATTTGATTTTATTACCTTTTCGACGATTGGCTAGTTTAACTGGCAAGTGAATTTTTTGGATACGCCTACGTAGTTTACCGAGCTGATTTTCTTTTACTAACAAACGTCTAAATGCAGTTGATCGTCAGCTTTTGTTCGATCAAGAGAGAAAATTTTGGCTACGAAGCGCTAGTTTATTGTGTCAAAAAAGTGTTTTTCAACGAATAATCATGGCAAGATATGTATACGGATTTCGAGACTACTTCAATATGCTGCGGTTGTATTTTCAAAATGATTTGCAAGAACCTTGTGCTGCAGAAGCTTATCGAGCTCAATATCAAGGACAAGGTCATCCTGATCGGAACGTGGTAGTGGATATGGTCGATCGCTTGTTAAATTATGGACAAGTAATGCTAGTTTACGGGGGTGAGCGGCCACATACAGCAAGAACAGTTGTAAATACCGAAGAAATCATTGAGTTTTTTTAAATGGACGGAACTTCCAGTGTCCGAGATGCTGAACGGCAATTAGGAATTCCCAAGTCAACTGTTCATCGAGTTTTGAGAGAAAAAGAATTACATCCATATCACTACCGAAGAGTACAATATTTGCATCAAAACGATCCTGCTGGAAGATTGGCTTTTTGCGACAATTTTATTAACAGATCGGAAGCTGATCCGAACTTTTTACGTAGGATTCTGTGGACAGATGAAAGCTCTTTCACCAGAGATGGAATGTATAATACACATAACTATCATTGCTAGGCTGATGAAAATCCTCATCTCATATGGGAAAAATCATTTCAAAAGCGATGGACAATCAACGTTTGGGCTGGACTTCTTGATAATCAATTAGTAAGTACACAAACTGTTTAATTGTGTAAGATCTGCTAAAATTTTTTTATCAATTTTATTATAGTTTAAATAATAATATATTGTATAATATTAATTATTGTTATTGTATGATCTCTTATTTAAAAACAAATGTAACTGAAAATTTTGTATGAAAATTACATTTTTTTTAATTTTGTCATTTATAAAACGAGTAATTTGACATTTTTTAAATTCTAAAAAATAAAAAAATTGTTTAATTTCCAGATTGGACCGGTTTATCTGCTACCTCGACTTTATGAAGAACTGTATTTAGATTTCTTACAAAATCAGTTGCCACGTTTGATTTATCCCGCCAATGGTAACATTGACGATCTGCCACTGATGCAGAGAATCATCATATATCAACACGATGGTCAACACCAGCACATTTCGAAAGTAAGTACATTTATTAATACAATGCAACAATGCTTTTCTCCTTTATTTTTTATTTTTATTATTATTTTTCACCTGATTAGATGAATTTTCATAACCAAATCATTCTTCAAAAATTAAGTCAATTACATTACTGATTTTGTTACAGGAAATGTGAGAGTGCATTTAAATGCCGTCTTTCCGAATCAGTGGATAGGTCGAGGAGGCCCGATACCTTGGCCAGCTCGTTCTCCTGATCTTATACCTGTAGATTTTTTCTTGTGGGGTATAAAAGAAAGGGTGTACCGCGCCAAAGTCACAGATCAACAAGATTGTAGGACGAAACTGGAAGAGGCATTTGCATATTATAGACAGAAACGAGAAGTAATTAGCAGAGTAACACAAAGCGTTGTTAACCGAGCGAGATTGTGCGTCGAAGAAGGCGGCGATCATTTTGAACACTTGTTGTGATGATTACTAGATAGAGTGAAAAAAACTTGTACTTTGATTTTCAATAAGATTCTTGTGAACAACGAACTGGTTGAATATTTAGAATATTCAAAGCGATTTATAAATATAAAAAAACATAGAAGATCGAATCGATAGCGTAACCTTCGCACACAGACTTTTTTTTTATGTAAATTGAAATTTCTCAGCTTCTAATGATTATTTTTTGACTTTGAAAGAAGCCGCATATTATTAACACATTAATAAATTTTCTGTCAATTCGAAATATTTTTGAAACTGCTGAAAATTTTTTTATAGCACTTTAAACACATATTTTTTTAATAACTTTCTCCCATTTTTCTTTGGATAAATCAGTTTGAAAATTACACTTTATACATTGAGTATGTATAAATCCAGTAAGGCCAAGGTCTTTTTTCCCTCCTCCGCACGCGCGAATGGCAGCGAGCAGCATTAAGCGGAGCATAGACGCCGCATCGTGAGTTCAGACTCGACTTCGCTACCGAAACGTCTAGTTGACCCTGTTATTTTCTATAGCATCACATAAAATACATATAGAGGCTTACGGTTAGTTAAGTCTTCTTTCAAAGTAATTTTTGTCTTTTCCTTTTCCCAAATTACCTGAACCGCGTTTAATTTCTATTTAAATTCGCGTGAGTTGCGCGCGCAAACCAAAAGCGCAGATAGAAAGATAAAGTTATTACAATAGCCCAACCCTTACCCGCAATGATGAGAATCCGATGTCGCAAAAAAAAAATCTATTTTTATGAAGTTGTAGCGTATCAATATTGTTTATATAACTATGATCAAGATTCACAGCCGGCATTATCCCATAGAGATAATACAGATAGAGTAGGTATGCCTGTAAGTGGAAGTGTCCGCCGAAACTGGCCGAATGAAAAGAGATGGAGAAACGATTTGGCAGTTCTATCTCTCTCTAACGATGCTGCGCATGCGTGACTTTTGTATGTAATGGTTGTCAGAGAATCAGTTCCTTTTGAACGTCTTTAACCATATACCGTAATGTAAATATTGTTTTTATGTAGTTATTAGTTAGTTTATTAAAAGTTATTAGTTAGTTTATTAAAAGCAACTTGAAGAATGTTAAAAATGCTTTAAAAATCTCAGTTCAATTAAATATGACGATTTCTTGTGTTGCCTGTAAAAAAGAAGCAGTACCTGGAGATAGTACTCGAAGTTTCCATAAGTAAGTGTCAACAAATTTTTTTTAATGATTAAATGTAATGTAACGGTCCTGTCTGATTTGTCTCCTATTTTCCTCTGTAAAACGGCAACCCGTCACACACAAGACAATTAGAGAAAATCGGTAATTGAGCGTAGGCGCTTTTCACACGTATATGCAAATGTGTTAGGGCAACTCTGCGAAAACATTACCATATAAGGAGCGTGACGTCACGACCGTGGGAAAATTTATTGTTTACAACAGAAAATCGTTAATTATAAAGTTTTTTAAACGAACAAAAGTATTTCTTAGTTAAATTTGATGCGCTGATTCTGAATTTCATGTTGATATAACTCTCAAATCGATATTTGTTAGTCAAATCTAATCTACAAGTTAACATTGTTACTTATTTTACAATAAACAATGATATTGTTATTTCGAGCATACGATTACAATCTCGACGTATTGAAACAGAAAAGCAAGAATTTGACACTTTGATAACTAATTACCCATTAAGTTATCAATAAATAAACAATTTATAATTTTTTTAAACAATTAAAATGACACGGTTAGATAGAAAATCGATCTTAAGTATCTGTAAAATTGATGATTATGATTGTTACTAATTTGCTGATTTTTAAACCGCTAAAAAAGAAAATTGCAAATCTGTTTTTTAATTATTATTCAAAATTAGAGAGCAACATTAATCATCTTTTATATGGATAACAATCTTCTAACCACAAGCGATTTTTCCATGTAAAAATTTTCCATAATTTTATTGTAAAAATGGCGTAATTTGATTATTAAATTGTATAGCTTATAACTTTAAGAGGCGATTTTTCCTAGAGATGCAATTTATGTTAAAAAATTCATCTTTTCCAGTTTAATTTTTTAAATCGCATAATTGTAATTTCGATCGAGCCATTTTGCGATAAAACGTGTACAAAATTTGCGTCAAAGACAAAAATAGCGATGTAGGGGCTACCAAGCGTAGAAAGGAGCCCATTTCGCATGTATAAATTCGCTCGTCGCTGCGGCAAAAGGACTCACTTTCCTACCTTGCTTAGCAGCACGAGCACTGTGTAGAAATAAAGCCTCAGCTATTTCCTGAGACGAATTTCTTTTCAGTGGTTAGCCTGTTGAACTCCTTTCCTAACGATCTCTAAGAGCTCAACTCATGAGACTATTTCTCTCGTGAGAAAAAAGCAGCCTTAGAGATCTTTCCTCCTGAAACATATCGATTGTTAAAAAGTCAAATTGAGTAGTAATCGCGGCGCTGTCGGGCCTCTCCCCGATAGATGCGAGTGCTATCAATTGCACTTCGAAGCAGCTCATCGAGTTGGCAAGCCTCGTGGTTTGCCACTCGAAAGATTTTCTTTTGATTATTTAGATTGCGCGCGTGTCAACTTCTTGCTTTTCTCGGAGACGTTATTGCGAATTTAATGTAAAGAGTCCGAACTAGTATTTTAACAACGCGAGATATATTCAAACGTTACAGTAATCAATGATAAAATGAAGTATTTTAGAAAAATTGATTCTTTATAGTGTTTGAAATCACAATGTGGCCTTGCCTTTGTTTCTTGCAGATTTCCAGGTGAAACGATTTTACAACAAAAATGGGTGGAGGCAATTGGAATGAAATCATCTGTAACCCAATATACAAAGCTGTGCAGTGATCATTTTGACAAGGATGCTTTTGTGGAAAATAATCAATACACCAAAAAGAGACGTTTACTGCCAACTGCAGTTCCTTCTAGATTATTGAGCAAGAATAAAATTTTGTGTGAAGCTGAAAATGTGTCTAGAAATGCAATTTCTAAAGATAAAAAGCAACTTCAAGATTCTGAACCAAGTGATACTCTCGTCAATTTGAAAAGGTGAATTTTAGAAAATTTATAATTGTACACAATCAATTATTCAATTATTTTACTTTACTCTTTCACATGCATTTATTTTATAGGAGGTTACCGTATACTGATAATTTAAATGAGACACCAAGTAAAAAATGCAGAGATTCTGAGCCAAGTGCTATTCGTGTAAATTTGAAAAGGTTAATGTTAGAAAATCTAGAATCAACAATTAATTGTTTCAATTTTCTCATTCATGTAAATTTATGTTATAGGAGTTTATGCGGTACTGAAAATTCAAACGAGATACCAAGCAAAAACCTGTGCTCTAATAATGATTTGGAATCAAGCTCGGTTGAAAATGTCAACGTCGTCGAGTCGGAAAAAAATTGTACAGATTCGAAAAGGTAATCAATACATCTATTTCTATCAACTTATAGTATGCAGAAATATCAGCTCTATATACATGAACATGGATTTTGCAGACGCCAAGCTGCTCCTATAGATATTTCGCATATTTCTTCAACAACAAAAATTCGTTTTTTCGATGGACCACAACCTGTTCATATATCGAGGGAACATTTTAAAACAGATGAGGGATGGACACTATTCTTGAAATATCATTTATCCAATAGAAGACAGAAAGATACACTTCGTAAGAGAGACGCAGGGAAAAATATTAAAATTGGCAATATTAAAGAACTCGTTACAAAATTAAAAGAAGAAAATGCTACAGCTGCAGTCGACTACCTACAGGTTATTTGATAATTCATACTAAAATATAATCTTTTAGTTAGACTCAATGAATGTACATGTGTATCATTTTACAATAATATTTACTTTTACAAATAATTATTACCTGACTATTCCACTACAAATAATACTTGTCATGGAGAGAAGAAATTGTTGCATGAAATCCTTTTTTAATCCTCTTATTTGCTATAGCTTATTGACTTTTCCACTTTCTAAACAATTGTCTTTTTTCTTATCACTAGGAACTCCCTAAGCATGTCAAGCAATTGATTTCGCGGATGAAAAACAATAAATCTACAAGTCCTTTTCCTGCACATCTCAAAACTTTTGCTCGAAGTTTACATTTTCATTCTCCTGCTGCGTACGAGATGGTAAGAAAAAGTTTCTTGAAATGCTTACCTTGCGTTGAAACGCTGAATAAGTGGAGTTACTCGAAAAATTATAAGCTAGGAATATTCGAAGAAATAATAAAGCACGTATTAGAAATGGTTGCAAATGAGTCGAAAAAAGGAAAACAATTGGTTTTTAATTTGACTTTCGACGAAGTAAACATTAAAGAGTGGGCGGAGTACTGTCAACAATCAAAAGAATGGAAGGGATTTGAAGATTTTGGGGGTCAATTAGAGCAAACGGACAACAAAGAAAAACTACAGAAAGCTAAGAAAGCTTTAGTATACATGCTAGTTAACATTAATGGCGGTTTCAAAACTCCCGTGGCTTATTATTTAACTAATTCGGTTACCGGCGAAGGAAAATCTATACTTTTGCGAGACTTATTAATTAAATTGCATGAGCATCGAATTAATGTTGTTAGCGTAACTTTCGACGGTGATGAATCGAACCTTAGGTGTTGCAGGCTGTTAGGAGTAAATTTTGATTTTACGAATAAAAAAACTTTCAGTCCATTCTTTACACATCCGGCGACAAACGAATCGGTTTACTGTTTTCTTGACGCATGCCATATGTTAAAATTGATCAGAAATTATTTAGCCGAAAAAGGCCCCTTTACATACGATCATAAGGACATTATCAGTTGGACACACATAATAAATTTGAACAATAAACAGTACAGCGAGGAATTACACTGTGCCTGCAAAGTTTGCAATCGCCATGTTTACTTTTATAATGAAAAGATGAAAGTCTTTCTTGCTGCTCAGGTTTTAAGTGCAAGTTCATCTTTAGCTTTAACATATTTAAAGACTGAATTGAAAGTTCCAATATTTGAAGACGCTGCCGCTACGGCTAAATTCTGTAAAATATTTGACGAAATGTTCGATATTCTTAACAGCGAAAATAAATTTTGTAAAACTCCTGGTTGAAATGCGATGACAGAAAAAGATTTACCAGAATTACGATTGAAGATAGACGCTTTTGAGCAGTATATAGAAAAACTGGAGGTGAACGTTGAAGTACCAATTAAAGGTAAAAATAAAGGTAAAAATAAAGTCAACGACGAAAACAAAAGTCCGAATGGGCAAAGTGAAACAAAAACCGGTGAAAATACAGAGCAAAAATTTTTTTCTAAAAAAATTCCAGTCTTGAAGTGTACTACTACTCGAACAGGTTTTTTAGGTTTTATAATTTCCCTAGAAAATTTTTATTCTCTTTGCGTAGATTTATTTAAAAAAAAAGTGGTTTCTTACGTCTTAGCATATAAATTATCACAAGATCACCTGGAAATGTTTTTCGCTCTTATAAGACGTATGAACGGCTTCACTAGTAATCCAACAGTCATTCAGTTTCAGTCAGCATATAAGAAGTTATTATTAAATAATATGAATGTTACGGTTCCTGCGACTGCCAATTGTGTACCTCAAGACAACACATTAATGATATTTGATGCTCAAGATATTATCGATGATAAACGAAATGAAATCGATCAACCAAATGTAATTGAAAATTCAAACAGAAACAAAATTACAAACAACAACATAGACGTACAACCAAAAAGAAAAAGCATATCTCCAAAACAAATAAGCAAGATAATGTCTTTCGGTATCAATAAACTGTTACACTGTGATTACAACATGACCGAACACGATTATTCTAAAAAGAATTCATGGGTACAATCAGAGTACCTGGACGACATCGTGAAACATACTGCTGGAGCAGTAGTACGTACTATAAAAAGTAAAATACACTGTGAAAGGTGTAAAAAAATGTTGAAAATTGCCCCGTTATCTAAATCGAAATTATCGATTTTGAAAGATCGTGGTGGCTTAATATTCGCATCAGATGATGTTAATTTGACATGTCATTTTGCAGAGAGAGTCATCAGACAAAATAAAAATGTATTGTTCTCAAAGACAGTTAATTACAGAATTGTTACTGAAACCTTAAAAATCTTGCCTCCGCGTATCTTTGATGATGAAAAACATTATTTGGAACAGGAACCGTTGTATGATCACAGGCAACAATTAATTTATCTACTAGTCCAAAGCTACATAGATAAACGTCTGAAACACGAAAGCGATAAATTGAATGATGATAAAAGTAGGATAAGGATTCATTATAACAAATTAACCCATTTCTAGGGTCAGTAGGTGTTTTCATCTCAATACCAAATGTATAATGTGATATTTCTAACTATGTTGATATTGACAAATAACAATGTCCAAAGACAACTAATATTTTTCGTATAAAGGTATAATAAACATTATAGATTTCGTGATGATTGAATTTTCACTATTAAGATTGTGTTAATTAATTTGTTAAGAGACGTAAGTAGATAAGCAATGTATGTTCTGGGACACAAAGGAGCCGACAAAGGATGCCGCCAATGTATAAGGATACGTGTATGTTCTGGGACACAAAGGAGCCGCCCGATGAAGGTGTGAAGGTAGTGACACCTTTTAATTTATGGTCAGACCCCATGGTGAGTGTCTAAAAGGCATTTGATGTACCTTTGACACCTCCCGCTGAGTACCTAAAAGGTAATCGATGTAGCTTATGCATTGAAGATGCGCCGCCAATGCATAAGGTATATGCGTATGTCCTGAGACAGAAGCTAGTGGGCCCCTCGACAGTGCCCCCCCCATTCACCCACTCTCCCACCCACCTACAGAGGTTGTTAATTTAGGTTGCTGTAGAAGTCGTTGCTAAGAGTCTAAAGCATAACCGATGTTCCTTTTTTAAATGAAGATGCGTTCTAACAGCGTGCACTATCCTTTTTCAGGGCCACACATATAATTTAGGAAACTTTCGACCACCCACACCAGCTTGCACTTTCTCCAATAACGCTTTACCTCATGCTGAGGGTTAAAACGCATTCGATGTTCCTTTTTCAATGAAGATGCGTTCGAAAGTATGTACGCAGCAGGTGATTGGAGATAGAGTAATCTTAATGATGAATTGTCTGTTAGTCATTTTATTGCTTTTATTTTGCCTTAGAGATAAGGTTTTTAAGTTAGCCTTGTTTAGTTGCGTTAACATCCTCCAACATGCTAAGCGTCTAAAGCGAAATCAATGTTCTTCTTCCTTTAAAGATTTTTATTAATTTGACTAGAGTTTCTTTTGGAGAGTAGGAATCATCCTGATTTTTCCGAAAATCTTTTCCGGAGTCAATCGTTCAGTAGTGCTCAAGAAGTATACATCGACGAAGCATTTAATATTTTTAGTAACTATTCTTTGCTTTTTATAAAAAATTAAAATGGATAGTGTACAAATAATAAGTACAATAAATGCCATGATTATTTTCATGGTTAACGTAAGTATTTTATCTATATATTCTATTAATTATTTAAGATAGTTTTTATAATAAATTTTTTATTTTTTTCAGACTCCTCCGATCCTGCTAGCTAGTTTACCAACTAGCATATTTTATTGTTTAATAATTGCCATTTTAAGAGTGGTAAGTATTTTTTATATAATATCAAATATATTTATTTTTAATCTTTTTATTTTTTCTTTTCAGCTAAATATAATCGTGACGGAGCCGTCGCATAAGCGACATATTCAACATATATTAGAAGAAGTTATAAAGGTATGTATATAAATAATTATATTTAAATAAGTATTTTTAAATAAGTATATATATATATATATATTGTTTTCTTAGTTACAGAGCGATGTTGAAAGAATAGAAAGGGCTGCCGTCGAGAGAGCTGTGGCCGAAAGAGCTGCGGTCGAAAGAGCTGCGGCCGAAAGAGCTGCAGCCGAAAGAGCTGCAGCCGAAAAAGCTGCAGCCGAAAAAGCTGCAACTGAAAGGGCCGCAAGCGAGAGGACCGCTGAGCTCGAAAGGGCCGCAAGCGAGAGGGCCGCTGAGCTCGAAAGGGCCGCGGCTGAAAGAACAGCAAAGGCTGCAAAATATTCAGCTGAAAGGGCTGCTAAAGCTGTGGCCGAGAAGACGGCGAGGGCTGCAAAGTCTGCAGCCGAAAAGGCTGCGAGGGCTGCGAGCGAAACAACAGCCGTAAAAGCAGCCAAAAAAAGATGTGTAAACGCTGTTCCGTTAGAAGCGTTTACATCTCTTCCACCAAAGAAGAAATTTTTAAGGTAAGATTATTTATTATTATTATAGTTAAATACATTTTTTATTTAATAACTAAATTTTTTTTAAATGAATATTATTTTTTTAGATGAATGTTGCTACTGATGCTGTGGATCGCAATGAACCATCGAGATGCCCCATGAGTAGCATCGAAAATGCTCTTCCACCGGCAGTCATCGCTACCAGCAGCAGCAGCAGCAGCAGCAGCAGCATAATTTTACCTACCACGAGCAAGCAGAAAGTGGTACCTAAGGTAAATTGTATTAAAATAATCCAGGACCCTAGTGTATTTTCTTGTTTTAACAGGAAACCTACACGACCTACCAAACCATGTGGTAGGAAAAATAATTAAAAAATTTTTGTAATTTAATTAAATTTAATGTAATGTAATAAAATTAAATAAATTGATTTAAATTTAAAAAAAAATATCTCTCTCTCTCTCCCTTCCTCTCTCACTCTCCTTCAAAAGTAAACATGCTGACTAGATGCATGTCCTAGGAGAGGGGGGTAGCATCTC